AGAGCTGGATCCTCCAGAGTCACGTCTGTGCCTTCTGCTGTACCAGAGTCATTTAGCTCTCCTTGCTTCAGGGCTGCTCCTATTTTGTCCAAGGAGCCCGTCAACGAAATCGCTACTCCGCCAATCATAGGGACTCCCCTTGCACACGCATTGGTCGGGACTGCTTCCACTTCGAGGACTCTCTCTGAGCAAGACCTTCTCGTCCTTCGATCTCGCCTCATCCTGACATTGCCAACAGCTGCGTCCGTTGCCTTTGTAGGTTGCGCTGCCAGGTCTTCGTCTCCGTGCCACTCTTTCAACTGATTGTAGTGAACCGCCTGTAGGCCCCTTCCGTCTGTTGTGCTGATTTTGTAAGTGATCCCGTTGGGATCCGCGTCGACTACAAAAAAGGTCCCTCGAACTTCGGCGCAAATTTGTTGTTCGACGGTAAAGGAGGGAGTCTCTTGGCAACTCTTTGGCCGGGCAAGTACGGAGTGAATGAGCTGTTTGGTTGTCGCCAGTAAGGTTCTGTAAAAGGAATTGGGAGTTTATTCGCGTTATTAGTGAAGAAATCATTGGGAGCGTGACCTGTTTGAGAGTGTACGGAATGATTGTAAATTATCAGGCTTCTACTCAAGTGGTCTGTCCAAGGATTTTGTACTCCTCACAAGTAGCTGAAAGTAAGTTGAATTGAATCTCTTCACAGTCCCGTTGCAATTAGGTGAATACGGTATTGTTCTGAAGTGCTTAACCCCATGCCGCCTCAGCATCGTCGTGAAGGTCCGCCCACGTCACCGTTTCAGGGACCTTCACCAACGAGCCGAAAATGCGTTCCTCATGCGCTTTAGCCACAGCTGCAGAGCGCTTATTTCTCAATGGTACGGCATTGGTGAACTTCGTGTACGTGTCGATTCCCACCAACAGGTACATTACGTTTCCTTGGCCCGGGGGAAGCTCCAACAGGTCGGCTGCGTAGTCCTCGTATGGAGTTTCGGGTATACGTCGATACAAGGGAGCACCTCCTTTGGGTCGTCCTTTAAAACGTTGACAAATAGGACACTGCCGCATCACGAAAGTTACTACCAACGCAAGCCTCGGGCTACAAAAATACCGAGAGATGGCTTCTATGGTCTCATCACGTCCAATATGACCAGATACCCTGTGAAAATCTCTCGTCAGTAGGGGTATATGGCGAGCTGGGAGAAGGGAACGCTGTACTTGCGGCCAAAAGAAATCCATCACGCACCTTTAGAGTGTCAATCAATTTCGAAAAATGATGTTTATTTCGCTTGAGTTTTAGCCGGTTTAAAATATCTTGCGGGGTAGTATTCCTTTCCCTTAATTCTTTCATTAAAATTATACATGGGTCTTGAGCCTGCAATTGTTCAAGATCCTCTTCCGTTAGATGCAGGGGCAGATCCTTCGGTTTCGACTCCGGAAGAACTTCTCCGGTAGAACTCCCTAGCGCTTCTTCTTCCTCCGGAGACCTCCTAGTCCTCCGCCTGCAGACCACTAACCGCTTCTGCTTCACGTCAGCATCGTCGTCGTTAACCAGGTTGTAGAAAAATGCGGAGGAAGCCACACTTGGAGAGTTTGTGAACGATTTTCCATCGTTCACAAACCAATGCATTGGTCTTCCGAGTTTCTCTTCAATCAGCCTGATAATTTCCCCTTTCAGTCCAAGGGCCAGATTATAAAATCTTCGTAACTTTTTGTACTTACGACTAAAAAGTTACGTGTTACTTGCGTACGCAAGACTTAGCTGAAAGCGTATTATCAAAACCATCTGGCTAATAGACCAATCAGAGGCTTTGGATTTGCTTTTCCTATAGCTCCTCTCGATCTGTCATCAGTGCACAGTGCGCTTGGATGAAAGCGGGATGTGAGGTGTCAGCGGCATTCGGTGCCTGACTATATAAGGTATACTGTATTTGTATAAATGAGCGAGATGTTATCCAAATAGCAATGCACTTGTTGTTGTGATCATTAACGAAAATATCTTACAATAAGGGCAAATCAATGCATTATCCTCATTAAAAAAAAATTTTAAAAGGTTACAAATAATTCAGAAAATTTCGTGAGTTGGAGTTGCCACTGTCACAAAAAGAAATAAATTTGTTTACAGAGAACTAGAAACATGGTTGGCTTGTCAACCTCAATATAATTTCGAATCAAAAAGGCATTAAGATATTGTTCAAGTGAATGATCATAAAACTCTTAGATATGAATATCAACATTTGCTTGTAAATTATAGCACGAAAAACAATTGACATTTTTATCCCAAAATCACCATTTACTTTAGCACGATCACATATTATGCCTATGTTCAATTATTTGCTAAATTCTATCACAATTCAACGTGTTGCAAGTAAATCAATAGTTTTATATTGCTTCGGCACACTCAAAACTTGTACGTAAATCCACTTACGACACCTTCAAGCAGGCGTAGAGCTACGTACGGCTTCTTGCATGTAGGTTCCAGCGCAAATGTTTTGATAGTACCACCGTTAGAGTTACGTCATCATATCAGCACTTACGCCACACGTAAGTTGATTTTGCGTACTTTTGCGTACGAAGTTTTGATAATATGGCCCAGTATGAGCTGCTGTTGCGTTGTAGCCCTTGGCTGCAACTTTTGACGTATATATAAACTCCCATAAAAGAAATGAAATCTATTATACTTAATGCAATGCAATTATCAATGTCACCCCATTATTCAAGTCCCAAATTCACTAGATGTCTATAAGCCAATCCAAGCAATTTCAAACAAATCCCCGTATCGCCATAGATGAAACGTTTCGGGGTCCGGCTCCATCATCAGTTCGAGAATACTAGAATACAGATACAATCAGTTGATATCACAATCAAAATTTAAAGAAAACCGAAATTGGAACTTAAATATAAAGATAAAATACGTAACAAAATGTCACACACAAAACCAATCTATTCACAATTCAAAGTGGATGCGAATTGAAGGCTGCGTTCAAGCTGTTTAAAAATTCATAGGGATTGAAAAAAAGTAATTTTGAAACCCCAAAGTAGAAGCTAAAATCACCTTCAAAAATTGGTAAGATACTCTGCTCAGCCGGATGAGGGGAATGCGCTGGTAAATGTCCAGTCCTACAACTCCTTTCCTTATGCTCTAAAAGTTCAAAATCATGATCGCGATTCATACCAACGTACGCAGATGCGCATTGCGCACAACCGTATTTTTAAACTAGAGACAACCACACATCATAGAAAGAATATCTTTGTACCTAGAGAAAGAACTGATTTTAACATTAATCATCAACAAAAGAAGAGAGTTCTTATATGAAGAGTATTTGATAAACAGAAATTTTTTATTATTTGGACATAGTTTCCGATTCAGTGCCAAACCCAAATAAAAATTAAAAGTGGAGCACCTATGTTTTTAGGATGGCTAGCAGCGGACGCCATAGGTGGAGCGACTATGATTTATATAGTGAATTAAGAGTGGCGTGCACCACCTATCCCACACCTATAACCTGCTGATGGCCCCCCTACCCGTAAAACTCTTCTTCCACCAATAACTGCCCATTGGCACCAGTGGCGCATCTACACTGTTAGAAAATCGACCGTAAAAAACGTTCCCGCCGGCGTTACAGTGGCCGGTTATTTACCGTTAAATTAAACGACGGGAACGTTTTCCCGCACGAAAACGGTACGCCCGTTTTGTACTTTACGGCTTCCTACAGTTTCTTTCATACAGACTTTTGTAATCCGACATAGCCACACATAAGAAGACATAGCGAGATATAAGGAGACAAAGCGAGACATAAGAAGACATAGCGAGACATAAGGAGACATATCGAGACATAAGGAGACATAGCAAGACATAAGGAGACATAGCGAAACGTGAGAGGACATAGCAAGACATAGCGAGACATATGGCGATATAGCGAGACATTTGGAGATATAGCGAGACATAAGGAGACAGCGAAACGTGAGGGGACATAGCAAGACATAGCGAGACATAAGGCGATATAGCGAGACATTTGGAGACATAGCGAGACATAAGGAGACATAGCGAGGCATAAGGAGACATAGCGCGATATGAGACATAGCGAGGCATAAGGAGACATAGCGAGACATAGCAAGACATAAGGAGACATATGGAGACATAAGGAGAAATAGCGAAACATTAAGAGACATAGCAAGACATAAGGAGACATAGCAAGACATAGCGAGACATAAGGAGTCATATGGAGACTTAGCAAGACATAAGGAGACATAGCGAAACATGAGGAGACACAAGGAGACATGGCGAGTCATAAGAGGACAGGGAGACAAAGAGACATGACGAAACTTAGAGAGACATAGCGAGGCATGATGAATAATAACGCGAGGAATTAGTTCATATCTTTATTGGTTCAACTGAAATATTTTTCGGAAGCTACATCGCAGACTGTATATGTATGCAGGAAAAAATTCCACGGATATATAGATGCATCTTCATTAATAAAAATAAAGAAACTGCAGTTTGATGCATCGTGAATATATTGATAAGGAGAATATTACTGTTACATTACTATTCCTAACAAATGAAATCAGTAGAAATTAGTTACCACTCCAGTAAGAAATTTACATAATTAGCAAATTAAAACTTAAGTTTTTTTAATACAATTTTTCATCCGAATCCAAATGGCGTACGGGTGCCGATAACAGGTCCTTATTCCCGATATCAGTGATTAGACCAAATCAACGCAAGTGAGACGTGATATACTAAAGCGGCCAGGGACCTTAACATTGAAATAAAAAACACTATAAAATAACAGTCGACGTATGCAAAAGATTGTGAAAATCACAAGGGAGCCGTCTCAGAGAAAATCTAGTTGAGCCGTCTCCTTACAACGTCCGTTGTAAGGTGCTGATCCAGCTCGGAGTGGTAGGGGCGCGGGAGCATTACTTTATCGGGGGCGCCCTGGAGAGGTGGGGCGGCCAGGATTCTGGGGAGGTGATGCGGTCAGGACCCTGGGGAGTTGAGGCGGTAAGGACCCTGGGGAGTTGAGGCGGCCAGGACCCTAGGGAGTTGAGGCAGTCCGGAACCTGGAGAGGTGAGACGGCCTGGATCCTGTTCGCGGTGGTCCCCGCGGTGTTGGAGGCGATGGCCCTGCTAAGGGTCCGTAAAGGCCCCACATAGGAGCCTGCTGGCAGGCAGCCACCTACCAATACTTTGGCAAAGAAATGACCAAAGCGGGACAGCAGGGCCATCTTCACGAGTCTACATTGGAGGGGCAGAGACAATCGGGGAAAGAATGAGCATGGGTTTGAAAGGCGCGTGCCAGGAACCCAGCAGAATCTTCGCCGTGGGGGTACCCAGGTTGCGTGCCACTTTGCTTCTGTAGGTTCCGCCGCAGTCGGGCCAAACAGCAAACATTCCCAGTCGACACCTCACCTCGTGGTCACTTTTGGATGCACTCCTGTGGATGGAGAATTTTGGCTTGTAGAGTACCTGCAAAAATTACTTAAGTTAGTTCGAAATAATTGCATTTATAAAAACTGATGGAGCCTTCACCTGGAAAAAGGACAACAATGAATTTCAAATCAATGAATGGAGGACCTGAAGCCTTAGTATGATGAATGTATCATAAACAGTAGATTGAATGAGCACATTTGTGAGAGCTATTGCCTCAATTAGCAGTGAAATCAGCGCCTCGATTCGTTTTATCAATATTTGAACTCATTAAATGCCTATCATGTTCAATTTGGCGATTATGCCCAAATGATTAAAGTTTTAAATGCCTGAAATTGACTTTAAAGATACATTAAAATACGTTAATGAAGCAGAAACTGCCGATCCTCAATATACAGAGGGAATCACAAACCTCTTCAGATATCACAGCTGCGCTGACTGCATTCAGGTTTTCGTCGTCTGTGGTGTAGTGGGAAGCGAGAAGCGTCACCAGTCCGTCCACGAGGCTCGACACCTCGCATTTGCTGATGGAAATGACGGTACTGAAGAGGCAAAATATGGAATTAATACAATCACCATCTGTTTTAATCATTAAAGCAAAATATTATCCATATATTGACGCAGAACCAAGTCAACAGTTCACCAGCATATTTTTTCTCAGAGCTCAACTGATTTTCAGTGAATAGTGTCGATAAATTAGTGACATTTTTGACAATGTGCAGAAAATAAACCAAGAAAAATTCTTCAAACTTTAAATAAAATTGAGACAACTAGCCCAAGACAGACAGAGCATGGGTTATATGGCCTCTTTCATGAAAAGCTCACATGAAGATTCAGCTCCTTCAACTTCACTTATAAGGAATCCTGTCACAAGTCAAAGTATGATGGCCATGATGAGGCAGAGAAGTGCAGTAAGTACTGCAATACTTCTTGTAGGGGATCTTCTGTCTCCACTCCCATGGCTGGCTCAGCAGGTGATTCAGCTGGAAAATAATTATTGTCTTGTAAATAATTATGCTAACTAATGCCCCATAGTACAAAATTTGTAATTTAATTGAAAAATTATAAAACTAACTATACTCCTAGAGAAGTTTAATTCAGCACACGTTGATAGAAAATACAATCACAATGTAATACACATAAGCTTTTAATTGAAAGCATATTCTATGGGCAAAGCATTGCATAAAATAACAACTTTAATTGGGCAAGGTAATCAATACTCACTTAATTGTTTAAGAAGACTCTTCCAGACTCTTGGATGGTTTTCAGCACTTAAAATGTCTGGACTGCCAGGCTGAAATGCTGCTGGGTGCTTCTTGATAGTTGAATGCCTTGGTGCATTTATTTTTCATTATGGACCATTTCTTGATGATTTTTTATGTAAAATTTAAAAATTATTTGCCTAATTGACCAATTTTTTAATTAGTTATTTTTGAAATTGAAATAAAGGATAAATGACAGTAACAGAAATGATTCTGTGGCTAGCAATGATACAATAAAATTATAAGACATAGATTAACAATGCAGACGTGTGTTCAAATGCGGGTTTTTATGCAAGAAATGAAATGTCCTCATATGAGGCATACTTGGGGAAACTGATGAGCTGGGGCTAATTCAGATAAAAAAATGGAGCTGTGTTTCTGATTTGATTGGGAGCACATAAATAATGGAATTAATATTTAATTGTGAAACACCAATATATATACAAAACAAATATTATTACATTCTTTTACAGATATACTTGTGCATTGAAGAACTAAACAGAATTCTTAGAAACTAACCTAACTTGTTTGATGGATTTAGTTTGCATAAATTTCACTTGCAAAAACTTCAACAATTATAAAACAATTTGTATCTTATCCTCACAACTATTCCTTAGCCAATTTTTAGATATATACACTCTAGAGAGAATACTCTAGTATTTTAAATACTGAAATCATATTTTAGGTCAACATGTAGGATGCTCTTAAACAAACTGAATCCACCTTTCCATTTTGTGCAGCATTAATCATTTTTACCCTACCAGTTGTATCATGCTAAAATTGCTATTATTATTAACAATGAAGATTTATTTGGGAATAATAATTTAGATAAATTAAATACCATCTCTCACTTGTTCAGAGCTTTGAGTTTTGACGTCAGCTACTCTAGTCAAATATAGAAGTGTTTAATGTACCTCTTCATTAATAATACAAATTAATTTTTTAATAATCAACTAATCTTTCAATAAAGCAATACATTTTTCAGTAAAAAAAAGCATTGACAGAAAGTAGCTTATGTGACTGAATAAAATTTTGCTTTATTTAGTGACTAATTATATATGATATTGCTTTATTAACAGACTAGTTGATTAGTAAACAAGAAATTTGTTATTATTAATATGACAATACATTCAACACTTCTAGTTCTATATATGACTGAAAGAGCCTCTCTCCTATGTCTAAGGTAGGGCAGGGGTTCACAAAAATTAGCATAAGCCAACAATAATAATTTGAATAAATTTAGCTCATGAGCAATGTCTTCCACTCAAGATGGCGTCTAGATATTAACTCGACCGATGACTGTGGCGCCATCTACCGCTGAAGTCCAACAAACCACGGTAAATAACCTGAATGACCGGATTACGGTGAATGAACTTCGAAAACAAACGTGTACTGCACATTTTTCGCCCGTTTTTTCTAACAGTGTATGAGATACAGATGGCCACCTTTAAAATTGAGTCAATAAAAATTTTTAATTTAGTTTCAAATCCGATGCTTTCGTATTTACTGATATTGCTTCATACAATCACCATTCTAAGGGCTACGTAGGGAAATCCAACAAGGCATTACAGGTAACAATGTCAGACATGTAGCAGGAACTAATAATCAGAGTACCATACACAAACCTTGTGAGAAATCGACTTGAAGAAGAGTCCCTCCCTGCAGGATTCGAACTCCGATCTCCCGCACGCGAAGCAGAGCCTCTACCGTTGTGCCATCGGAGAGGACATAGCAGTCGAGTAATTTTAAAACATTTAACTGAAGTATTGCAAATATTAATTTCGTCAAATGAGAGATGTTAATGCTGCCACCGTGATGATTAGATGGTTCCATCAACAATTTTATTTTAACATGCTGCTGCATTCGAGTAAACACCCGCTGAAAGAAACTTCATTTATCCATAACTATCGAACGATGGTTCAGCTCATAGTAAAGGCTACGGGAAAATGCTTAATAAGCATCGAAGTTTTATAATGTCAACATTACACCAATTCTGACAGCGGTTTGATTCGAAAAATTTTCACCAAGAATATTCTGACGTGAAATAAGGAATTGATATAACACGATTATTTTGAAATGTCAGGCGTGAAATACCTGCACCACTCCTAGTCACTATTTTTCTCTAGTCTAATCTTTAGTCTATTGCGATACCGGGGCCACTTTCTTAGAAATTTGGGCTTAAAATCTAAATAATTATCTGACTGTATATTAAATTTCACAATCGAAGTCAGGATAGATAACCAAATTTTTACTCGTATCCATTGCGTAGAAAGGATATTTCTATGACAAGCAAATTACCCGGAAAGCACATGTTTCAAGCAGGACATGGTCAAGATTAGTAGGAAGCTCAACGCCGACGCGAGTCAAGTCAACCCAACCGGTATAAACGTGTGCTTACTGGACTCGCTCGCTGCTTGATGTCTAGCCGCTGTGCTTTACAAAGATGCTGAACTGCTGTCGACTACGCTCGCTGCGCTTGATGCCTAGCCGTTGTGCTTTACAAAGAAGCCGAGCTGCTGTCGACTACGTCAACGTGGCTTTTGATTTAGATAAATGGGGCATCTTGAGAATATTGTAAATATAATGGAACATATTTGATTGATTGATACAATTTATACTTAATGATACAATAATTAGTCTCAATTGATCGCATTACTTCCAACGCAGCCAGTTGGCGCATTCGCAAAATTCACAATAAATTTACGCAATATTTCAGGTGAACATGAAAAATTGATTCGCCGTCATCTATGGAAAAACTGTATTTATTGCAACAAAATTTTTTCGTTTTATATCGGACAATTTATATCAGGAACAGTCTGACACTTGGCCATTGGCTTCACTTTGGCGTGACAATTTTTTGAACAAATGCTTCTCTCCATCAGTTTTATTGGTACCTACCTAATTCACGCTAAATTTTCTTACCAGAACTTAATCATAAAAGCCAAGCACACAAAACGAAGTCATGGCTTCGTCTTGATCTCGAATGACCCGGAACCCAATAACACCTTTCTACGTTGGATAAATTACAGTGGCAATTATACCTTCGTGCACTGTACAGTTTGGGCAAACGGTTATCGGTGGCACAAGAGATTTGTCTGCAATGTGCCATAGATGTTTCAGACCCTATATCTCATCCATGACTCCCACCTATACTCGCCACCCTTTCGATTTATTGGTGTTTTATTGTCGATTTTCGGCAGATCTGGCCACCCACCGTTACGCCACCTATAATCGACTATCGCCACCAATAATCATCGGTGCGCCACCCTTAATTTTTATTTGGGAAGCATGGGAAATAGCAATAAACAAGGTGCCTATATACAGCTCAGAACCACCTCAATATAGCGCAGGTTTGAACAATGCATGATTGGGAATTACCAAATTCAGTAACACTTATCTAAACAAAACGATGAGGTCTAAAATTTACTACACATAACATTCATGTTGTTACTAAACATTTCCGGACTTTTGTGAAACCAAACTTCTATAATTTGGAAAAACGTACCACATAATGTGCAGCGACTGCACCGAGTTGAAAGTCGAAGCAACATCTGGCCGAAAATGTGTGACGTTGGCAGAGCTAACCAGAAGTTAAATCTTGTTATTAATTCTAGTAAATTATCCGTCGTTCGAGTAAACTTAAAAATGGTACACTTGAGTAAAACCTCGAAGCTGTAATAAACACGTTATTGCAATGGTTAATGTCACCAATTTATCAATATTTCTTAAATTGTCGCAAAACATATTAAGTGGTTCGTAAAAACTTTTTCAATCAAGGGTGGTAGTTCAAGAATCACAGAGGATACATTTTTCGAAAATTCGACAGGAAAACAAACGCCAAATTTTTTCTCAAGTTCTCAGATTATTCAATTTTTTGCCCACGATTTCAATGGATATACTTTCGTGAATAAATACCAAGACCATCATTCTGCCAAAAAATATATGTTTAAAAAATACAAAAACATTTTGGCATAAAGGTGTCGATAGCTGTAAACTGAAGAAAATAATCAAGATATAAAACGTTTAATTAATTATTTGGGGCGTTTGGCAGAAAGCAAGGTTGTTTAATAAAATAATTCGTTGAGAACAGCGACCGCCCAACTTACTTCATGTTTTAAAAAATATATGCATATTATTTAGTATGTATTTACAATTATCCGTTCGTAATTATTCGAGTATCAGTAAAAAGTTTTCCTCAGCCGAAATTTCACAAAATTCACGCCGTAACTTCCTATATCACCTTTACAATCTGAAGTCAGGAGTTTGCTCGGCCTAGTTTGTCATGTTCAGGGCAGTAATTTGCTCGGCCTAGCCTACTTATTTTCCATCACAAAAAGCCTGAGGATAATCGATATAATTCCGGCGTTTGCCAACTATGAGGATCAAAATGCCGCTCGTTCCTGGTAATAAGGACCTGAAAAAATAGCGACTGTATTATAGAACCTTACTTAAAAAATGAATATCTGAGATTTTCTTCCTCTACAGTTAGATGCCGCGGCCATTTCATTTCCCGATGTTCCGCCGACACCTTACAAGCATTAAGCGTCCTTCTACTTAATCTTAATGAATTAAATGATCTTGAGAGTAAATTAAATAAGTAAATTGTAATCGAAATATTCCCCTTATTTGTCTGAAAATTATGAATGACATAATTTGATTTCAGGACGAATCTACTTTTCCCATCAACGCCAGTCGATTGACATGTGTATTTTGCTGCTGAACTGTAGTGCCACGAAAGAATTTCATATGCCATTCTGCACCTGAAACTTATTTCTATTCGCAAATTAGTTCCGTTGAATGTGATCTTGAACTCAGTTGATTTAACGAATTGCTTCTATGTTTTGATTGACGTCCTATTGATAGTGAAATATTGCGAATTTAATTATTCATCTGGAATTGGAGAAGTGACGTAGGTCTTGAGGCATATCTGCATGCACTGTTGAAAGGCCTACAGGAAACTCCACTCAGGAGTTTTCGCCCCGAATCTAAGGCTTGAAGCGCCTCGGGTTAGCAACAAACGAAACAGAAGTTCTGCCGGATGATAGCATTGTTCCTGTTTTTTATGTTAATTTTTCATCTCCATGTTTTCGTCATAAATTCTGTCAATTTTGGTTTCAATAGGAAACTTGTAAAATATTTCACGGTTTTCGCGGGCAATTTCAGGAAATTTTAGCTTGACGTGCTAATTCTGCCTGAATCATTTTTGCTGCTACAGTAACTGGACCTTTCGACACATAAATAAATATACCGTTAGCTGAGGTAAAATTGGACCCTAAGTGCAACATTGGCCCAAAGTTATAGTTTTGTTGTGATTATTTGATGAGTTATCAAGCAAATGGTGCCATCTCTTCATAACTAGGTTGTACCACTTTAAGTAATGAACTAAGTTGATGGCTCAAAATATGGTCACACGGAAGCGTATAGTCGATTGATGGACGTAGATGGTTGCATGAAAAGGATGGCGCTTTTCGTTCAGTTCTTTTCTCCAATCTAGTATTCGAACCCCGTATGAATAATTCATACCTGGTTATTTGTCATTCATATAAATGTAATGATAAACATTCAAATTAATTTCTGTTGTTTGATGAAAACGAATAGAACACACTGGCAATTCCAACAGTTTAGTACCTACATATCTAGCCCTTTCTCGTGCAAGCATTGAAATGTGCAGAAATGAAAACTTATTGATGAGAGTATGGTGAATTATGAGATATATTAACTCCTAAGGAAATTTCAATTTTTCTCAAGATGTTGGAATAAATCGCTAATGAAAATTCCATATATATCGGTCATTGACCTAAAAAAATTTAATTTTCTGTAATTTGTTATTTCAAATGCAAAGGAAAACTATCAAGCTGCCATTTGATTTAATTTTTCAAGCTACTTTAACGTAATAAAATTGCTAATGCTGCTTCCGACTTTTTAAAATATGCGGAAAGAGCGTCAGTTTCATTGTCCGAGCAAAAACTTTAATTTAGATGCTCATAATTTGATTCCTGGGCATGGCAAGCGGTGGAGCTGTGGATGGATGGATGGACAGATGTTCGGAGATTTATGGCGTCATGATTTATAGAGGAATGATTGATAGCGTAGCTTAAAACACAAACCAGAGGACGAGCTGTGCATTTATGTGAGATGATTTTAAGGGACCATTAATTTCTACTTCTTCTTATAGGAGCCCTGGAAACTGGTCCATGCAGCTAATAGGTAACTTTCCAGCTAAAGGGCTCGTAAGAGGTTCCGGTGTAGTGAATCTAGATTGCTAAAAGTCGGAACAAAATAACTAATATTGCGTTCAAAGGTGACGTCCAGTTTGGGATATAAATTTAATTTTCACATTCAATTCTAACTCTAAGTATTTTAAGGTAAATAATTACCACTAAACCTATCCGCTGCAACATTACATACAGCACAACAATTTTTTTTCTATTTTTGGGCCAATGTAACATTTGAACAATCAATCCTACCCCAGCTGACTGTATAGCTTTACGTTTATTTTTAAGTTTTTCTCGTCGTTTTTACTCATATTCACTGTCTAGCGTCCTCCGTGTCACTGATTCCATGATTTTCACTCTATGATAACCCCGGAGATCACGTCCATCGTTTGTCTACTATAGGCTAGGTATTGCCGACTGTTCACGTCTTAAGAATTCACTATGATAACTTTTTTTCTCTATCGTTCATTTACGAGTTCATTTGCAATAACTTAATTCGACACCCTGGACTTGATTCGGCATCTTTAACCCGGGGGCTACCATGCAGGGACATCAAGCGTTGATGGCTGCCATACATGGCATATTTTACATCACAAGCATATGGTTTCGTATATATGTTACTAGTCACCTTTATTTGAGATAAACCCAGTCGTTTGAGGTTTCCAAGCCATTTGGATAAGTATTGCTTTTTTGTTTGCGTCCGTAAGTAGCATTATTAAATTATTTTGTGAACGTGAATTAATTTCCGACATTTTGTCAACTATTAATTCTTTGGGAGACTTTTTTAGTTATTTAGTTTGACCGACTTAGCAAAGTCGGTGGATTCTAGCTCTGTGGCGAGTAGAGTTATTGCATACTGAGGCTGGACGTTGGCTCTAGGACTTAATTAAGAGTTCAATTTGTGGCTCATGGCAGCGATCCCCGGAATTGCGACTACCAGACAGGGAAGAATGAGGCATGGTTGGGCTGTTCGGCAAAAAAACTCCCACAATCACGGAGCATCTTTTAGTTTTTTTTGTTCATGCATACTTTCCTCTGCGTATGCTCGATTACGCCAATTGTCCTGTAATTTTAGAAAGGGAGGAAGCAACGGCGCTGGTCAATTAATTCCCACTCTCCTGCCTGAACCGAAGATATACATGCGTATTAATCGATTACATTGGAATTAACTTAAAATCGCCTGAGTAAATTAGCTTAGATATCTTCCACCTCAGCTGAAATTTCAAATTGATTGTTCAAGACAAGACACCGCAGATTAAATCCTAGGATAGTTTTATTCGACGCGGCAGCGGCACCACAAACATGCGGGTTGCCAGACTGAATTTGGCCCAGAATTCTTACCCAGCAAAGTGCATCTTGCTTCTACTCATCGGATTGTTTTCATTGTTTAGCTTTTACAAGTCTGTGCAGCACTTTCAACTGATCAACTTCGAGACATGGCCACCTGGAGATGAGGGTAAGTTAAATCGTTATCAAGTCCAAATCCTATGGTGGGTATTGAAGGAAAGAATCAATGTAAAGTTATCGTAATTTTAAATTTGAAATTATGACCGAATTGGATTTTCCAATATTTTGAAGAGATATGGAAGATCCCATTCCCATATCAATCCCATTCGGGATTGATATGCATTATACACAAGTAAATCTCTCAATTATTAGTCATTGCAGGTTTATTAGAGTAATGATTATTCGATTTATTTTTTAAATTCTCTTAAATTTCTGTATTTTCTGCAGTGATGACTGCATGCAGCCAGCCATCACTGCAGAGAGTGCCATGTTGGCAGCGCGCGAATGCACTCACAGCCTCAGCTGTCGGGACTAAGCCAGACTTAAGCGTCGATGCAACGTCAACCAGTGGCACTATATAATTAGGCGCCAAACTATCTTCTAATTCCATCCCAACCGTTGTACAGATGCGGTATCGACGAGACGTGGATATGCTTGCAGCCTTGGGGAATACAAGCGCTTTATAACCCAGTAGAAAGCTCCAGCTGCTTTATTTAAAATGGTTGTAACATTGCTTGCTCCATTTGATCCTCTCTAACTTCGGTCCCATCTACTTAAAAAGATTTCAAAAAATTTTTTCGTAAACATTTTCATTATTTTTTCCTAATCTCAAGATTTTTTTTGTACAGCCTTGTTTATATATATGCACCCATGGAAGCAGTTAGTGCAAAATTGAAAATCATGCAGAAATTTCCACGGAGCGATAGAGTGAAGGAATTTAGTTATAATTGCTGGGTGAAGGCCGAACTTCAAATAAATATAATCAATGCTAAAAACGCTGACAAAGTGTGTGGAAAACTCCACTTCCGCGTTTGTGGCATCATTATAATTTTCGCCTTAGTAAGCTGGTATTCAGAAACGGTTCTTTAGTTTAACATGCAATATGTTTTATTTATAATGAAACATTTATATCAACTATATATAGCATACTTATAGCATAGAGTAGCATGTTCGACTGTTTTGTTCAGGACCATTCAAGAGGCTCCAAAATAATTTTCGTATTTCTGTTTTGATTGGCATGTTTCATCAATATTATCCAATATTCGTTGTCAGTAACGTGAGCTTATAGTTCACGTTATAGTTTATATAACGTGAACTTATAGTATCTCGAGCTAATATAACGAGCAATCAAATTTTGATCCGAGGCAATCAATAATTCACGACGGAGATCGGGAAAAAATATTACAAGATATTTCATCTGATGAAATTAATTAATAAAGAAGCCATATCACACTAAGCCATTAATTATTAAATAATCCACGTTCACGAAAATGAGCCTTACCATACATTTTCAAACTTCAAAATCGACCTCACCAAGCAAATAATTCAAATATTATGCAAACTGATGCAAATAAAACTAGTGACTGATGCACCGCATGATCGGGAATCAAAGTAACGCGCAATCATCTCCGATGATTAAGGTTAACGACTAATCAACGATAGTAATTGCTTTTATTGCCACAGATTTCCTGGGTCTCGACGCGGATGATCCGAGATTGATCGATTACATCCGTCAACACGTCATCGTGCCTCCCTCTACCGAACCCTACAATTTGTATTATGGGATCAACCATGACCCTTCTGACGGCCAGTCGAAAGTTGTCGACGAACTATTAAACCATAAGGTAGTTTACATTTTCCTGTTATTTGAGATATACTATTACGGTGACAGCTGGAAGCTCGATCTTCTCTGACATTTCTGGGAAAAATTAATTATCGATGCAGTGAAACTCACGAAAAGTAAGTAATTTTACACAATTAGATGTTCAGAAATTAACTATTTCTTACATGTAGCTGTTCAATGGGCATTTGTTTTCCAGAGACATTCATGTCTTCTGAACAATAATCCAGTAATTATGTTAACAGCGGAATGGCTTTTACGTCGAAAGTGGAGGTTACACGGGCGAAGTGGTAAGCAACACTTTATTTTTTGAAATAAAACGAAATTGGACCGGGATCCTGATTGAGCCGAACCCGAGGAACTTTGAAAAGTTATTGTCTAGGAAGCGAAAAGTGCACTCAGCTAAGGCGTGCATCGGAGAAACTAAATCAGCTGACAAGGTGAGTGAAAGTCAAATCCCTATCAAATAAATCAACATTTAAAATTGTCAAAATACGAAATAGATGATCCATATCGTAATAGAATAGTAGAAGGCTATCAAAAATATCAAGCCTGCATGAAGTCAAGTGTTACAGAGCGCAGGACACCGACTATCATATCCGATCAACACAAATCTCAGACACTACGGTATTTTACCGCTTTGCTTTTTTTGTGAGGCCTTTCGCCATTTCTCGAAAAGTTATACAGTGAAGGCGCAAACTGAAGTATCATGGAAACATTTCAAGGGAGCGTTTTAGTTTTTGAGGAACCACATCCTAACCGAATTATGACTGGAAACATCCATTTGCAATAGAAAACATAATTATTTATATGTTTATTGACATTGAAAAAATATTGCCAAAGCACAGGGAAATACTAATTCACGTTCAATCTGCATTAATCCTAACTTGATATTTTCAGGTTGTATTTGCAAACCAAAAATACGCTGGCAAGATATTTAATCCTCAAGATCCAAACCAACGAGGATATTCATTGGACCTGAGCAGCGCAAAATGTTTCCCGCCGAGTACAAGGTCCTGCAGTCCATACCCTGGGACAAGATTGATATTAAGGTGAATGTTTCGTAGTTGCTTACGATATTTTCTTAAAGGTTTTAGTTGGTTTTATAGACTACATTCATACGCAGGATATATTTTAATCGTTATCTGACATTGCCACAAAAGTTCGCTATTTTTAGACCTACAGTTTAGAAAAGTTGAAGTTCAGAAGTTGTACGAATTCTTCCGGCGGTCCAAGATCTCTAAAACTTCCCTATAATTTTATTTCATGCAGACGTTATCCGTGGAGTACAACCTCATCCCAGAAGGAATGCCTGCACTGATTGACTTCATGACGTCAAAAGGGTACATCTACTACATGAAATTCATCAGGCCTTATACACACGACCTCATTTTCGTCAAACAGGAAGTGTTGGATCATACAAGAGTGCAATATGGAGAACTGCCCATTCTGGATGTTAATAACACAGTCAGTTGGATGACTCGTTCGAATTTGGAGTCATGAAGAGATAATAGCAAGAAATATTTTCAACCAAGGAATGGAGGCGAGACAATTGGCAGTCGCTTCTTGAGTTGCAATTATGCTTGATGAACAGCAGAAATATTATCAGTTCATGAAGGAAGAAAAATTTTAGAATTAACAAACGTTGATTAGTGGGTTTTCAGTGGCATTTCAAAAGTATTAACTGGAAAATTGAAATAATAACTGGTAAATTCAAGAATGAACTTGAAAGACTTTGAAAATTAAGTGAAATTATCGCTTTGATAAAATAATCAACTTGTAAAATAAACTTCAAATAATCGGCTTCATAGTGCGTAAAAGAATCCCATGCAGCTCATCCGCTATCATAAGGTTGGGTTCCTTTCTGAAATATTGTTAGGATAAATCATTGAGAATTGATAACGACTCCACAACATTATAGTGTCTTTGACATTACAAGGTTTGAACTTACAATTGAAGCTCACAAGTCGAATATGTCGCTTCCCTTTCATAGGCAACAGTTTCCAGGCGGCCGATGAGAGGCAAGCTGTCAGCTGGAACTGATAAGCTTTTGGTCCGCTACTAGAATCTCAACACAATGACTAACAGCCAACGCAGAATATCGAATACCTTCTATCAAATACATCGAAACCGATTGATGCGATACCTTCTTTCTAAAAAATATGCAATCGGCTTTCGTTAAACACATGGTTTGACGCAGCAGGGGTTGATGCTACTCGATCACAACTTACTTCATCCCTTAATGCTCTGATACAAGGTGTAGTAACTGTAGTATAGATCTAGATGCATTAATTAGCCAGACGTTTCTAGACTTCCAGCCGCACTGAGAAATAGAAATTGCACCTCGCTTTGTATCTTGAAACTATTCAGTTTCTCCGATGAGTCAGTGAGCGCTCTATCGTACTCCGACATGTTTCTAAATGTTTTCAATGAAACGAAACCATTCCAAAATTATTAAAACATCTAACTCAATTCGTTAAAATTTGAAACGAAACCATTGAAATAACAACGACAAATTTTATCTGGTTATTTAATAAAATGATTTTGTTTGTGTCCAGCAACACACCATCAACAAACCTGATAGGAAGAAAAAAATACCAAGAAATATTTTTATTTTCCCATTCCCGTTTTAAATCATCGCATTTGATCAAGGAATTCTGGAGAGTCCTTTATACCAGCTTAAGCTTATTCATCTATAGTCTACACCTAATGTAACTGTTGTGACATAAAATTCACATATAATATATTAATTTTCATATGTATAGCATAAATGATTTTGAGTAGAAATTCTGACTAATAAGTCACTTAGAAGTGGAGTCACAGCAAATTAACTAGGTGACGAAATCCCATTGGAGCCGTGCAGTGCAGCCAGCCTGAGGCTTAGCGGTGTACAGTCGGACTTATGAAAGGTTTTTCACTCATACCGAACATTACAGCTATAAGAAAATAATATCCTAGAGTTCCATCTTTAGATAAATCAAGTACCACAATAAACTCTATGTTGTTCTTTCATGAATTTAGAAAGGAAAGGAGGAGGCGCCATCAAATTTTTTTGGGGCAAATTTTCATGTTAATATCTTGTAAAAATAGATTTCCACAAAACAAAATGGTACAATCTGACTCTGGAGCCTCCAATTGTCGGCACATTGAGAGTTCGACAAAATTGAAGTTGTTCATTCAGTGAGGCAGGATTTCGGGTTCGAGAATAGGAAAACCATACATTTCTTGAACCAATGATAATTTACCAAAATTTCGTCAAAAGTTTGTCGGCCTCTTGGTCCACTAAGAGGTCTCTCTCTCGCATCCTCTGCTTGATGTGATTCGTTGTTGTGGTTGTTGGCTGGATAAAGGTTGGCTGGATAAAGGCCGGGTTAGTATTATTCCTATATATGAATAAATGTATTTGTTCATTATTTTACGCACAAATTACTTCTATATATTTTATTTTTCAATCTTCCTTCAAAAACTAAGAAGTTTCACTAAGAAGTTTCTATATATATGCATTATATAGAACTTAAGAATGTCATCATCAATTCGTATTTTCTTAATCATACCGGCTTCCTATCCCAAATCATATCGACCCATATCCAACCTGTCGATTTTTTCAAAACTCCTGGAACGCGTTGTGGCTCGACAGCTGAACAAACCATCTTCAGCAGTCCGGTCTCGTGCCTCGCCTCAGGTCTACATACCGTCATCTCCACTCGACAGAAAATGCCGTGCTGAAAGTGCTTTCAGACATTCAGCGTCCAGTAGACCGTGGCTACATTGCGCACTGAGAGAAAAAGGCCCCCTTATTTGAAATACTTGGGTATTTTAAAGCCTCCCCGAGCTTGACGCGCTTATATTTGTGCGGCTAGCGCCGCGTGGTCAGTGCGCCGAATGCTGTCATAGGAAGTGGTGTCCGGTGTCAATTCACTTGATCTGATAGAGATTGAGGACAAGTCAACATCTAGTAGACACGTGATGGATAATGCGATCAAGACCTCAGTAGTGGGCGGAAACGAACCTTATAAAACCCCAGTAGTTGCAGTAGCTAATAAACACTCCGCGATGTGGCGTGTCGGTAGAGTTCTCCGCCCTTACGGTCGGCGTCATAGCTTATACCTTTGTATCGCAACTCTGTATTACCACCCCGTATACAAGATACGTTATCTGGACTGATGTGTCTTACTCATCCCTCTCTACCTCAGTCACGTAACCCGATCCTCAGGTAGGGCTTAATATAATGAGTTCAATGTCATGAGTGCAATCTCGGACAGTGGTTGCGTGGAGCCGCCGCTCATGAATGCCACGAATCTACACTGCATACGGTTAATTGGCGCAACTCAATTCGGTTAATTGTTTCAGCTCACTGCTGTTCTTTTGTCAATAGTAATGTTAACGAGCGACATCTATACCATTCATCACACAAGAAGTTGAGCATAAAATCAAAGATTTATTCTGGTGGTACCGCGCGCAACACAAATCAAACACTGCAACTCTATGTAGTTGCCTTATCCGTAGCTGAGCGGACTAAGTTGCCTGCTCGCGGGCGTTTGGTTGCAGTCTTGGCAGAGGTCCGAATCTCGGCGGGCTACTCATAGTTTCTTCAACTAGAGTTCGATAGAGGTGAGAGCAAAGAGTGTAGTTTCATGATGATTGTACATACCAATATAAATTGTGTAATAAATATGTGCATAAAAGAAGGAATATGTGACTAATTCCGCTGCGATGGAGAGAAGCGTTCAAATCGGATAGAGACGGAGATATATAGTTTTCATAATTTTGGTAGGGAGGCGGCCATGGATTAGACTGGGATCGACCGGAGGAGTAGAATATGTTAAAATAATTTCATCAAGCGCAGGAAACTGGACAAGGATATTGCAGAGATTCTGAAAAGAAGGTCTAATTCTCCGTACAATTCCGTGCTCTAACGTCAAAACGCCTACGTTTCTTGAAATCTCAAATTTCGAGTTAACTGAACATTTTCAAAACACCTGGGTGTTTCGGTTTGTGCACGATCACTCGGGGAGGCTTTGAAACACCCAAGTGTTTCAAAACAAGGAACCTTTTTCTCTCAGTGCGGCACTAGCTTTGCGTGACCTGTCGGACGCGTTTGCCACGGTCGACCACGCCACTCTATTGCGTCGACTTGACGAATCATTCGGCCTGCGAGGCGCAGTACTGCTGTGGTTCGAGTCCTACCTTAGCAATAGATTCCAATGCGTTCGACGCGGGAACTCTTCTTCTACGCCATCGTTGGTCACTTTCGGCGCACCACAGGCATCAGTTCTCGGCCCGATCCTCTTCTTGTTATATACTGTCGACGTATTGTATATAATCGATTCACATAGTTTGAATCCACATATGTATGTTCGCCGACGACACCCAAATATCTAGCTACTGTGCACCGGCTGAGGCCGCAGCGTTGTAGGATCGAATGTCTGCCTGCATTGACGCAGGATCGAATATCTGCCTGCAGACTGGTTGTGCACCAACTGGCTATAGCTCAATGCATAAAAAACCCGCTTTATTTGGTTTGCGAATGCTCGGCGCTAACATCAGCTCCCGGCCAACCCTATTCGCAAGGGCATATAGTTTGTCATGCCCGCGTCCGCAGTTCGCAACCTGGGCATTCTGCTGGACTCGGAACTTTCAATGAACAATCGCATTGCTAAAGTCACCACTGCTTTCATTGAACGCTGCTGCTCGACTGCTGTGCAATAAGCAAAAATTCGACCATGATACGCCAATATTTCGCAATCTTCACGGGCTGCGCATTCAGCACCGCATGCAGTTCGAGGTAATTAAGTTCTGAAGTTCCGATGTCTTCACGGTCTTGCGACTCCTTATCTCACGGAATGTTTGCAGCGCGTGTCGGACCTGCCTTCTAGAAGATGATTGCGCTCGTCATCAACAGCGAACCTCGTCGTATCATCTGCACGTCTATCTACCGTCGGCGACAGAGCGTTTCCGGTCGCCGTTGCCAGAACCTGAACAGTCTGCCGGCTTCCGTAACTTCGGCTCCTTCGTTACAGATGTTTCGTCGACGCCTAAAGACGGAACTACTTCGTATAGCCTATGAATCTAGTGCTTAGTCATTTTATCCGTTCCATCCATTCATGTGTCTATTTAATTTTCGCTTGTTATTAATCTTATGTGTGACGTGCCCTCGAAGTTCGTTTGAACCAGACGCCACGATAAATACTTCGTAGAATAATAATTTACATCCCGCCCATGAAGGCGGTCAAGTCCAATTTTGAGCTTCTGAGTACGACTTTTGTAACAGATATAAATATAAAGTTATTGTTGCGGAAAAGGAAAACAAGGAAAGTGTGGAAGAGAACAGGAGGTGGCACAGAGTGGCCAGAAATAGGAAAGAGAAATGGAAAGACAGTATGGAGATGGAAAAGGCACATTGCGCGTGATTGGGTGGTTTGTAGGTGAGTGAGGTGTGTTTGGGTTTGCGGGAGTTGATAACACGTCAGAGCTTTAGATAGTTTAAGGTGGTGGGCGATTAGAGGGTGGTGTTTCTTTATTACATTATCTACTTTTTCAGCAGCTAAACAAAAATACAAAATGATTCGCGTTCTAACTATTTACATGCGTTTTCGCTTTTCTATATTTCTTTTTATGTATTTATTTATTTTTTAATTTTCTCAGATGGTGAAAAGAGTGGGTGATGATGTTGATGAAGATTGATGATGATAGAGGTGAAGGCAGTTGGTGAGTCGCTCGAGACTCGAAGGGAGATGGGGGTTAGTTGATCGTACTCCTTCGTACTGGGTTTTCGGTCTAGTCTTTACTGTACCGTACGTCACTCTCGATGAGTCGAGCAAGTCCGTCTGTGCAATGGTGTTCTGAATGGCGTGTGTGTTAGGAACCAGCTACACCTAAACGGGATGGGAACAATTGCCGTTGGGAACAATTTGAACCAGGATGGGATGGGAACAAACGGGACAAAAACGTTCAAACAAACAGGACAAACAAACGGGATGGGAACAATTTGAACCAGATTTCGCTCATAAACCAGATTTCACTTCAAAATTTCAATTTCGCCTAATTTTTGCTGCTTACAATACTCCTAGCTTCAAACTTGCAAAATTTCTTGTTCCAATTTTGAGCTGTCTTACCACCAATCAATATACGGTAGACAATACTTACATGTTTGTGGACCGCTTGAAGAGTTTCAATAATGTTCAGGGCTTGACTATGGCTTCATTTGATGTAGAAAATTTGTTCACTAACATACTTCTTTCTAGAACTATTGATATTTGCCTCGATTCTTTGTTTAAATGAGTCAATGAACTTGTCATGGGTCTGAACCGCAACTTTTTTTAATCTCTTCTCGAATTATCAGTTTTGAACTCTGTTTTTGTATTTGCTGGCAAATTTTATTGGCAAATTGACGGTCTAGGCATGGGTTTTCTTCTCGGCCCTACCTTTGCTAATATTTTCATGTGTTACCACGAGGCTACATGGCTGGCAAATTGTCCTATTGATTTTAAGCCAATTTTCTACAACCGATATGTAGATGATACATTTTTAATTTCCACACATCCCTCTCATGTGGGCCGTTTCTTTGATTATCTTAATCGGCAACACAAATCCATCAAATTTACTATGGAGCTTGAATCCAACAAGAGTTTATGCTTTCTTGATTGCAAGGTCATAAAATCCGGTGGCTGTTTCCAGACATATGTATACAGAAAATCAACGTTTACCGGCTTAAGCACCAGCTTTTTTAGCTTCTATTCTTTTCGTTTCATATTAAATGGGATTCAAACATTATTTAACCGCGGCTTCCGAATTTGCTCTACTTTTCATTATATGCAACCTGAATTTGAATATTTGCGCAGTATGTTCTCACTGAATGGGTTTCCTTCACAATTGGTGTATACTCAAATTAAGAAATTCTTGTCTAAACAATATGCTGATGTGGTTCCTAGACTCCTGCGTCTCGAAATAATTTTCTCGAAATGAACCGAGACAGATGAAACGAGACGAGAAAATTCCGGGAAAAAAAATAACGGGAAAAAGGGTAAAATTTTTCCCGGAATAAACGTATGAACCGAGACAAGACTTCTGTCCCGGACTTTAAAACTTGTGTCCCGGTAAATTATGAACCGGGACGAGACAGGCAGATTTGAAACGAGACATAACGAGACAAGACGATATTGGTCCTAATTATTTAAGACAAAACAAGTTTTACGATTACGATACGAATCATTTCGAAAACATGGGCTGAAGAATGACAAGTTAGCCCTTTATTGCTAATAGGGCCATAGGCAATTGCCAGTTAAATTGCGTTAATTGCAAATTTAGCAAAATTTGTCTGACTAACTGACATGGCAGTTAATTAGGGGTCCGACAAACGCCGCAAACCTGTCGATGTATGGATGGCTGAGTATTGAGTAAAAAATGTAAAAATGT